CAGACCTTATTCTTCTCCATTTTCTTCCATTTTTCAGACCTTTCTCTCCCCAATTCCTATTAAAATCACTTAGAAATCGCATTAAAAACGTCAATTCTCCATCAAGATCAAAAACCCATAAGATTAAATCTTCTAAACTCTAAAAATTTCACAATTTCAGCTTAATATTCCTCTCTATTGCCTATGTTCGTGCCCTAGTTTCTTCTTCCACTCTTCCTTATCTTTTCAACAATGACGGGCACCAAAAGATTGGGAAATAGGATGAAGCATACTATAAGGTGGTCTCCTCCACCTTTCTCCAATGAAGAAAAGGATTTGGAGCCCGAGATGGCAGCAAACCTATTTGAAAAATCACCTATTTTGATAGGTAAAAATGTTGATTTTGTTGATTTTTCGATTGAAGCACTTACATTTCACTTGGAAGAGTATTTTGAAAATATAGGATGGATATCGGTAGTCACTACGGAGGAACTCGGATATTCATGCCTAATGAAATAATTTTACCAAAAAAATACATGTTGCACCTCGTTTCGACGAGATTACTTGTTTAATTAAAAATATACGTATCATGATCGCGCAAGCACTAATCAATTGAGTCTTCCATGCAAAATTTATAGAATATTATCGCACATGTCATTTTTCCAAGAAAATGTCACCTGGATGAAGTGAGTAACTTTGATTTTTTCATTCTTGATTCATTTCTCGTTGGACGAAAACATGATTTTCCAACTATTGCATTAGGACTTATGAAACTTGTTCATTTATCACGTCGCGTTAAAACTTTACCGTACGAGATGCTTTTCACTAAAATTTTTAAACATTTTGATGTCTCACTTTTCAAAAAAAAAAACTTGTGTTAAACTTCACCCCACCGACACTATCAACATCCAACTCTTAAATGGTTGAAGATAGTTAAAGGACAGTGGGCAATGGATGGCGCACACAAAAGGATTTGACTCTATCTCTAGTCCCTTGACTCTACCCTTTGAGGGTGATGAAGAAGAGGAAGGAGATGATATACCACTTGTTCCGAGTCTCCCTCACAACATATCGAGCTCCAGCACTCCTCATCCCTCGGGTAATGGCTTCACGTTCACTAAGGATCAATATAATATCCTCAATGGGTGCATCGATTCTCTCACATATTCGGTAGACAACCTCGACAGTCTACTTCATCAAATTCAGGCACATCAGATATCCAGGCCCGATAGACGGAGATGCAGGCACAGCAGAATGCCTTCTTCGCCAATTTCTACCAGCTCGTTTCCTACCACTACCACCTCCGACACTTTAGTTTTCTTTTGCTATGAAACTTGTCTTAATTTTTGTCGTACTTTAAATGTCTTTAATTTCAATAATATTATGCTATTGTTTGTTGATCAATATCTTAATTTCATTGCTATGGTTGACTTTCTTCAATCTCTATTCCCGCATATATTTTTACTTATGACAAAAGGGGAAGATAAATAGATGATAGATGATTATGCTGATCGGGGGAATGTTGAAAGGGGAAATATATGAATTATTACATACATGTTGATGGGGGGAATAAAATTGAGAATGATGGGGGAATATATGCATCAAATGCTAAATTTTAAATTTCATATTCCTTGTCGATTTGTTCAATTCCTTATCAACTTGTTATATTAAAAATTATGTTTTTTTTCATAATCAAAAAGGAGGAAATTATTGACCTATGGTTGACTTCTCGTTTTGATTATTACAAATCAATTGCGTTTTTTTTTAGCAAATTGAATTCAAGTATTTATAGCGATTATTGCAAATTCGATAAAAATGAAGACACAAAGATCGAGATTAAGAGACTTGCAAATTGTCGATAGATATGCAAACAAAATTGGCAATTGATGGACGAAAAGACAAAAATTGAGCACTCACGTCAAATTGGTTTGAAGAAAAAGTCAAATATCAAATATCGAGACATTAGACATAGATGCTTTAAATTCGTTTGTAAAGGTAAAACACTTTAATTCCTAGCATTGAATCGACAATAACTCAAAAGAAATTTTTATGCATGAGAAAATTTCAAGTTACAAAAATGATTACATAAAAATTAGTCTTCAAAAGGCAAGTATTTCAACTCTTCGATCCAATTGTTGCAAAATCACTTACTCTGATAAATTAAATAAGAAAATCTTTCAAAAGTCTACATTGTTCAAAATTATCATGAAGGATAGCGTTTGGGGACAATTTGTCATCTGGATGTTGGGTTGACGAACCCGACGTCCGGATTTCCCAATGGTCAAAATTTTGGCCGTTTTGAATCTGATACATAACGACTATTTCTACACTGTCCGGTTCTAATTCGAATGTTTGGATCACTCGTCCGAATCAACATAATTTCTGGCAATTTCACTGCTATAAATACCAATTGACTTTTCATTCACTTACAACTTTTTAAGAGCATGGAAATGAGGCATTATTGATCCCAACAACTTTATTCTTCATTATGCAAAAGATCAAATCATTAATTTCTTGAAAAACTTTTTAAGTGAATCAAATTATTGAAAATCATTTTTCTCATAAAAGTGTTTTTGATCTAACACTTGAACTATATTCGTTGCTATCTATTAAAGTGCTAGCATACTACTCTCTTGATACTTAATCTTGGCTATTTCATTTATTAAAAGAGAAGATTTCATTTGTAAAATTTATTCTTGTTTTTAATTTTGGGTCGTGTTGAGGTCCTGTAAAATTTAATGTTGTATAAGGATCGGCACTCCTTACTTTTAAGTCACCCAAAGCGTTGTAAATGGTTGGATTGCAACATAAGTCAATCAATATAGTGAAAAGATTTTGTTCGTGTCGAAGAGCTTGGTAAGGGAAGATGTAGATCATTGTTTCGGATTGAACCTCCACAATTATATCGTTTGCATCCTCTCTCTTCTTATTTACCACTTTTATATTGTGCTTATTGCTTGTTCTTATTTGACTTTGTGTTTGTGTGTATTTGTGCATATTTGTCTAATTGTTTCATATGTTATTATACTGATTTAAAACTTGAATTAATTTTCGAAAAAGTTTTAAAAATCAATTCACCTCTATCTTGGTTAGCTATTCTTGGGCTTTCACAAACTCAAAATTATAACTTTTCAAATTCAACCAATAGTAAAATAACTCAATTTGAAGTGAAAACCATAAAAACAAGAAAAATCCAGAGTAGTTTCTTTACAAAACCAAAATCTTAAAGAACATATGATGGAGTCAATGAGACTCATAAAGTGATTTGAGATATTGACTAGACACGAGTAGCAAATTTAAAAAAATAAAATAAAAAAGAAAACTTGGCGTGAAATCCCATGATACCATATTATTGTCTACACAAATGGTATAGAAGATTTAATATCAATGCGGGGAGGGGCAATAATGCACATCGTTGAGAAATAGCAAAGCGACAATGATTTTTACTAAAGCCAACTACAACCTATTTGGTAGATTCACTTCGTTTATCATTATCCTTTTGACATTGTGTGGGTTTCGCAATAATTATCAGATTACAATTTAATTTCACAAAATAACCATTGAATTTTTGCAAAATTTTAAATTATTTCAGAATTTTTTTATTATTTTTTGTTTGAATTTTTTATCATTAAGCTGCGAGCATAGAATTTGTATGGAAAAAATAAATTCTAGGCAATTCAATTATCTATACCTTATTTGTATGTAAATTGTTAATTAAATGAATTTTATTGATTTAGTTTTTAACTTAGAATATATTATACTTGTCATTTTTTGTTAATGAGTGGATGAGAGAAAGTTGATAGATAAGAGGGAGAAAGAGAGAGTAAATTACTTAGAAAATAAAAATTACATTCCCTAAAGAAAATGTTTTACTTGTTTTTGAGGAAAATATGATTAGGATACATTTGATTTTCAACATTTTCCATGGAAAAAATATTTTTCACATAAATTCCTATTTTTGTGTTTTTTGATTGATTTTTTTCATGGAAAACATTTTCCTACTTTCTGTCGCATTATCTTATTTTTTTCAAAGTCAAGGAAAATAATTTTCTTTGGAGGGATTATGATTTTAATTTTCAGGGAATCCATACTCTATTTCTCTCTTTCATCTATCAACTCATAAAAAATGGACAAATATAATATTTTTTTGATTGAAAACTAAATCAATCTAACACATTTAATTAATAATTTTTCATACAAATAAGTTCTAGGCAATTGAATTATTTAGAATTTATTTTATTTCTATGCAAATTTCATGTTTGTAATCAAACGCACCATTACATGATCAAAAGTTGGAAAAAATTGTCACACTCCAAACGTGGGAATTTGTGTGGAAAAATGATATTTTTTTATGGAAAATAAAGTCAATCAAACATATTGTTATATTAATTAGTATCATATTAGTTGTTCAAGTTCAACAGCTATCTATTACAACTATGGTGAAACTTCAATGTCCCAATTGGGATGGGGCCAAAAAGTTTAGAAACCTCTAGCATTGTAAATTTGCACCGAGGAATGGACATGCCACTTTATTGAAACCTAAATGGAATTATCCAATTGCTTTAAAAATAAAAATAAAATTACTTACTTTACTGCTTTGTATTGAAATCCAATGACCTGATTGCATTACACGCAGTTTCAAGCTAAGGCAATGATTTCCTTTTTCATTGGTTGCGGATGATTCAAGTCTAGTCTAGAACGACGACTCTGTAAAGGTCTAAGAGGACTAAGGTGAAAGTACATGACCAATGAGCTGATTGCATTACACATAGTTTCTGGCTCAGGAAGGGATTTCCTCTTTTCGATTGTTGCGAATGATCCAAGTCTGGTCTAGGAGGATGATTCTATAAAGGACTAAGAGGACTAGGGTGAAAATACGTGACCTCCATCGTAATTAATTCAATAAATTAGTAAGAAAAATTTAAATATGTTGTAGTAGCGGGGCACTTATGAAAATTGTTAAATATAGAGGGCTTCTGAATGATATTTTCTAAAGAGTAAAAATCCTTCCGGCCAATATTATACCCCGCACCTTCTTACGCCACCTAGTTTACACACACACAGATTCACAGTTTCTAGGTTTCTTCGCTCTGTTATCCTCAACCCCTCATCCCCAGCACTCATCATACCCCCAAAATCTGAAAAACCTTAGTATATTGCAAAATTTTAATATATTCAGTAGTTTAATTAGAATCCAGCATATTCTACTGTCAATAAGTTAAATATTTTGAATTTGAATGGCGTCTTCGCCGGCGAATTTGTGGGTATTGCTGGGGCTAGGGCTGGCGGGAATACTCATAATGACTAAGAAGCTGAGGAGGGTCGTGAAAGCTGATTTTGGTGCGTTTATTGAGCGGCTGGAGCTACTGCCGCCGCCTCAGCCCGCCCCTCCCAAAGCCCCCCACCCTCTTACAGGCCTCTCCTTTGCCGTCTCTGATGTGTAAGCACTTTCATTTTTCTTTTTTCTATATCTTGTTTAAAAACTCTAAATTTTTTAGCAAAATTGTTGTAGTTGTACTGTAGTAAATAATTCAACAAAATGGAAATTTCTTTCGAAGATAATAACTACCTACGGTGTGCTTTTGATGGTTTGTTTTGGTTGAATTATTTTTTACTGGAGTAGCCGATGTTTGGAATTGTTGCTTTTATCTATCTGGTCTCTGTTTTATAACTGAGAATTGATTGAAAAGAAAAAGCAGACTCTGTGTGAAAATATAATCTCAAAGGAGTCATGGTGGAGTGTTGGTGCCAATTCTTCCTATGTCCCGTTTTTATGTACATTTTCCTTTTCCTGCAAAATAAATAAAAATTTTGCCTGCTCTCTATGAAAGAAAACATTTTTTTTTTTACCTTTACATTCTTTTTTCTTCTTCTTATGCTATTGAGCAGCATTGCCATTTGAATTTTGTAGGGATCCAGTGTCCCGTTTTCACTCATCACATTGGTTAGTTACTTGTATGTATGTCATAGTTGTTATTTTCTTTTCTTTGTATAATGGAGTTAAGGTTAATTGAATGAATTGAAGTTACTTTAAAATGGAGTTAAGGTTAATTGAATGAATTGAAGTTACTTTAAAGAGAAACTTTTTGGTATTGCATTCTTCAAATCCTAGTAGTCCTAAGTATATCAAGATTGTTGCGAAGAGCTACCCAAAATGGATAGAGCAGAAACTGAGGAACTGCCAATAAAGATTGTGAATTTTGATGATCTGAAAGCCAATATGATGTGCTTTTTCTTATTGCTACAACAATGATTTTAGTGAAAATTTTGTCTGTGAAAGAGGGATTTTTTTATAAAAAAGAAAAGAACATGTCTTGTGTGAATTAATTAGTTATTGACCTCCGTTTTTTGGTATATACAGAGATGAATTAGGGTGTCAGAATGTATGGGAGTAATGACCCAGACACTAGTCAGGGATAATTCATTATGTGGGGCAGAAAAAACCTTTTGGGTGTATAACAATCCTTTTTCAGAATTTGGTAATGATTGCTGTTTTGAATAGCAAATGTTTTCTTGAAGAAATAATTATGATCTTGTACTAGAGGTTTACTTCTAAGAGTTTTTCTTTTTTACGTACGCTTACTTCCTCAGATGTACAAACATAATGCTTGCTTTTTGCTTGATGGTTTGTCATTTTGTGTAGGATGCTTATTGAGGGTTTTGCTCTGCCTTCTTTACTCTTTTCTCTTACAAGCACATTTTTCTTATTCGTATAGTCAACATCTAAGTGCACATATTCGTTAGTCATATTATTATATGAGACTTCATATGGTGAAATCATTAAATTTTACAAATCTTGATTGCCAGATTAGATATTGAAGGATATCTGACTAGCTTTGGCAATCCAGACTGGTCGAGGACTCATGAGGCTGCTTCCCATACATCTCCCGTGGTTGCTTCCCTTATTGATGGAGGTGCCACGTGTGTCGGAAAAACTGTCGTGGATGACATGGCATTAGGGTTTGTACCTTATCCTCACTCTTTCTAAGAATGTATTGACTTTAAAGTCTTAACGTTTTACCCTACCTACTTTTGATGTTGGTTTGTTATCGAAAGATGCATCTCCTTTTGCTTCCTTTCTAGTTAATTCTTATTGTTTAGTAGTTTGCTAATCTTGTTTGTTTCTGGTTTTTTACCTGAATCTAGTATTAGTGGAGAAAATAAGCATTACGGAACACCCACTAATCCTGCCTCACCAGCACGAGTGCCAGGAGGAGCCTCTAGTGGTGCTGCTGTAGCCGTGGCTGCTAACATTGTTGATTTTTCTTTAGGTGAGCTTCCACTGTACTTTCTTGTTTCTTCCCCATCACTTTACCAGTTGATCTACATTGACTACTAGCATGGGATAAGGCTTTGTTGACTTGTATTTACAACGATTTCTTATTTATAAAAGTCTTTTATATCAGTTTTTGAGTGGGTAACGTTCTTTAACATTCCCAACATCTTTCAACCAGTATCACTTCCCCATATGCTTCATAAGAAAAGAGAATAACACAATGTTGCGGAGAGAGAGAGATCAGATTAGCTTTGATCATATTGTGAAGTTATGTTGGATATTACCGCGTTCAGTTTTCTTTACTTCATTTACCTATTACTATTAAAAGGTCATTGCTGACTAGGCATATCTCTTGCTAATCCTCCAATGTAAGCTAATCTTCTATTCAGACGATACATGACAAGGTTGTCGATATTAATTTCATAAATCTTCTTAGAAGCTGGTTTCCCCAAATTTTAGTAGTGGATTCGTCAAAATAGTAGTCACGGAATTTAGCTCCATATGAATATCACTTCAAACAGCCACCTACCAAAGCCTTAAAGCTTGAGAAAGGGTGGAACTGATATATTTATCTTCACTTTGCCTGGAAAATTTGTGTGAAAGGACTAACTGTGTATAAACATCATTACAAGTTGGCAGTAACTTCAGAACTCTAAGTCACTAAGGATGCTAAACTTTTTAGAGCAGTAGATATACGTTGACTTTCCCATGAACAAATTAATTGAGGTTGAAGAAATGAGAACTTTCAAAGACAAAGAGCAAATGGTGGGCACTTCTACTTTTGGAAATGCAAGGCAAATGCGCCGAGGAGGTGTTGTTACATGCGTCTTTGTGGTGTTTATAGATTAATGAAATATGCATGTGCATAAAAGTTGATGAAATTTTAGAAATGCCATGAATAATAGAACATCAGAGTGGGTTCACTGATAACATAATGAGCATTCAGTAAGAAAATGAATAAATTACAATAGTCTATATTTTGAAACAAGATTGTAGACGGTTGGCTTTATATCTAGCATTAAACTCACTGAAAGTATGCACACTCGATTCATGGTAAAAATGTTGATCGCAAGCAAAGTGTTAAGATATGAACGCAAGAAATTCCTTTTGAGATATTTTGTTTTACTGTTCTTTCTTGAAATTATGTTCCTTTCTTCAGCCAGTTGACCGTTTCATTCAGGGGGTGTGCCGTATCTCACAGCATCTTCTACCCTTCCTTGTCTCTCTAAAAAATGTTTTTACTTAAAATTACTTTCAAGATTGTTTCATATATTACTTGTTAATTGGTGATAATGCTTTTGAGCATTTTGCTTATTGTTTCCTCTCTGCCACTCATATATTACTCTCTATATTCCTTACAATCAAACATTATCATATAAGGTAGGTTGTTCAATTGGAATTATTGGGTGGATTCTGTATTAGATGCTATGAACATTAAATAGTGTCCCTTGTACCCTTATCTTCCATCATATATCCATACTTGTGGTCAGCTATTGTTTTCATGTTCTGCTGTTATGCAGATAGAGAGCACCTGAAACTTGTCTGTGCTTTACAGCAAGGACGCTAGAGGAGATGCCTTCTCATTCTGGGATTATTTAAAGTTAATACCTGCTACACAAATCCAATAAAATGTGGTATAAATGGAGGGGAAGAATGATTATTCATGCATTTCATTACTAGTTCTAGGAATATGACAGCTTATCAATTTTTTTCATTCCACCTCATCCTGTCCTAAATATGCTTATAACCACTGGATCTGATATTGGCATCTAGGACCTATTTTTTTCCAGTTCTTTTAATGTTTGTGTAATATGGGAAGGCATGTTTGATTATTATGATGGAAGCTTGTCGACTTCAATACTTGCATAAATAGGAATTTTACCTTTTGATGCAAGCTATCTTGTAAATGATTGTAACTAGTAAGTGGTATAAGGATTTTATGGCAGACTTGAGCTTTAGTCTGTTTTATCTTTTAAGAAAAATGTCTCTGAGAAGTTTTTGATGTTAGTTTGGATGAGACTGTGAGAATACAATGAAAATATTCTTACTTAATAATGAAGGTGAATTCTGTTATCTAATGTTGAAAATTTTCCAAACTGGTTGCATTTTGCATAGAATTACAGAGAAGCAGAAATTTCTGGCAGCTTAGCTTGGTCTTCTATAAGATTTCGTTCTTAATCTTTACTAAAGACTCCATTTAATGGAAATTCAATACTGTACTTCTCAGTCACTGTCCAGATTCATTTTTATTAAGATTTCCTTATTAATCTTTACTAAATTGACTCCATTTAATGGAAATTCAATGTTGTACTTCGCAGTCACTGTCCATATCGGATATTTATTGTAACCTGTAAAAAATTCATCACATAAGTATCTGCTTGGTTTATCTGATTTTTGTAATAAATTAGCTTGAAAAATGAATATTAGTATTTTTGAATTGTCGCTTTGCTTTCTAGTTAATTGCTGTAAATAAAACATGGCCAAGGAACTTCTTAATGATCTTGCAAGATAGAAGTATAACTAGTTCTGTAGTACGACAAACATCTTGCTAGTTTACAAGTTCTTGCATGGTGTTTGGTCAGGACAATCTTCGACATAACAGGGAAATTTGTGCTTTTTGTGCTATATCCATGGGACTGTTTATAGACTTAAAATTGCTGGTATTTATTTTTAGATTATTGAGGTTTGGTAATACTTATTGTATTACTGAAGGCAACTGTTAAATTACAGGTCACTTCATCTTATTTGAGGTGGAGGGTTGAATTTTTTGTCATTTAGAGTTATTAGTAACAAGCTGAACATCCTTCTTGTAAAGTATCTAAGTTCCACACCCACCTTCATATATTAATGTATAAAATTTTGACAAATTGAGTTCTAATCCAGAGGTCATGTTGAGCTTATTATGTATGGGTAAGGCTACATGCGTCTAGCCATTTCCTGATCCCGTGTGGCCAGAACTTTGTGTAGTGAGCGCATCCTTTCTATTTATGAACCAACATGAAGTAAACTACAATAAACATCAATACTGTGTAGATAGTATTTGGTTTTTTCTTTGACAAGAATAACTTACTGGTTGATAATTCCATCAATCTATTGGCTGTTTTCATTTTTCATTTTATATTCCTCAGGTTGAGAAACTTTGGATCACTAATTATTTTCTATGCTTATTACATTTGTTGTTAAATTTTTTGTTATATGCTGTTCATCAATGTTAAGAATTAAGATGTATCCATTACTTGGTCTGTAGTATTTAAAGAGCCCACTCTCAAAAAATGTAATGAACTTTTTTTTGACTATTATTTTGGTCTTTATAACCATCACTTTGTTTTTCTATCTTAGAGATTCATGATTAATTATTTGTCTATGTCAGGTATTGACACTGTTGGTGGTGTGCGAGTGCCTGCGGGATATTGTGGTATATTAGGTTTTCGGCCATCTTATGGAACCGTCTCACTTTCAGGGGTAATTCCTGTTTCCACAAGTCTTGATACTATAGGTAAGTATTTTTGAACGGGATTTCAAAAATGGCCGTCTCAAAATTTTGAAAGTTGAGGTGTTGGTACATTTATTATTATCTTCATAATAGGGATACTAACTCTTTCCCTTCAGCATCACGCTAACAAGTTAAGTTAGAATTTTAGTATTGATTGTGGTTCTCATATTTCAGCCGAGGAAAAAAGAACAATAGTGATTTCTAGTAAAACTGATTGAGGGTAAAACTGTTCAGTCATGTTCCATCTCCTACTTATCAACCATATTGGGGAAAAGGCACCAACTTTGAGGATAAATCTTTGCTGTTCAAGGAAGCATGACTATTTTCTTGATTGCAATAATCCTTTAACATGGAATTAGGCAGCCATTACAAATGCAAAAGAAAGCAAAAGTAACACAGGATTATGGACAACTGATATAAATTGTTTTTTGCAAGAGCTCTAGAAAAATTAAAATATCAAGATCACATGTGGCTTTCATGATACGTAACTAGTCTAATCTATTAATTGTTGCTCATTCTTGAAATAGAATTAGTCAATATTACTTTCCTCTAATTTATCAGGAATGTAAGTATTGATTTTTTGTAAATATGGGAGTGTGAAAATACATTAATTTCCTTCTTAAAAGGGATAGTGGCTGTGGGACCTTCTCAAAAAAGAAATATGACATTCATTTTGGTATACTGCTGCTGTTCATCTAACATTAAGGTTTCGTTTGGTACAATTTATCTTGAAAATTATTCTTCTCAAACTAATTTTCAACCACACATTCTTTCAATAAAATAAATTTGCACGTGGATTCATAACTTTTTCCTACTTTTTAACCATTAGTTCTCCCAAAAATCAATTTTCATTTTAAATAATTTCTCCCTACCAAACATTGGAAGTTTCTTTTCTATTCAGTCAAAGTCAAATATTATTTTCAACAATACTTTCACAACTACTACCTTATAATCACACACATCGTGGGACCTAATAATATTCCTCTTAAAAAAGTTACTAATAATTTTATTTCGTCTCATGTGCAAATGTCCATTTGAGTTTTTCAACAATTTTGATTCACTTTTTATTTTATATTCGCCCTATTTAACTTGATTGAAGGTCATGTCCACAGTCATACCATCTTTTAATTTACTACTACCATATTGTTATCAAGAACCATGAATTGCAGGATGGTTTGCGAAGGATCCGAGTATACTTCGTCGTGTTGGACACGTGCTATTACGGGTTCCATATGCTACCCAACGTAATCCTAGGAACATTGTGATAGCTGATGACTGTTTTCAGTTATCAAAACTTCCTATCACTCAGGTGGTGGTCAACTCCATGGAAAAGCTATATGGAAGTATGTTTATTTACTTCACTTGTTCCAAATAATCTGTGTTTGAATTCATTCTTTTGGATGATTAAATTTCTGGGTTTCTGAGGATTACCTTTTCCAGGGCAAGCATTGAGGCATGAGAATCTTGGTGACTATCTAAACTTGAATGTTCCAAGCTTAAACGCATTTAATGTTGGGAAATCAAATGGTGAAGTAAAATCTTCTTCCATAAGATTACTAGCAAATGTCATGCAGATGCTTAAGAGGTGAGGTCGCTAAGTAGTCCCAAGTAAATGATTTCTATTAATTTAATCCAATCTATTTATTATACTTTGATACAATAATAGTGGTGACTTTGGTTTCAATTGGTATTTTTAGGTAAAGGGTACGGACTAGTACAGTTTCTCAAATTTAACCTTCAGTTGGACCCATTTTAAAAATGAAGAGCTTCAGTCCATCTCTATTTTCAATCTTCCCTTCCCCCATCCTTACCCGTGTCTGGATTACCGCTCAGTACCTATGATGCACCGATACAGACACATGTATTCAATACGATACGTGTCAGATATGTTGAATTGTGATTTTTTAAAAAAGTACCGACACGACACGTCGCTGACACGTTGATTAAATTTTTAAAAAATTTTCATTTATATAGTATAAATTTATTTTTATACTTACTATTGATTTTCCTTGTTGAAATCTTTTAAATATGAGTGTTTATTTGTTATTTACTAATAATTTTGAGTTAAAAATATATAGTAGTTATATTAAGAATGTAAAACTATTATTGTAGAGTGTCCGAAGAGTGTCGGTACATGTCGGACACGGACACGCTACCCTAGCTAGAGTGTCCGTGGCTCCGTGCTACAGAACTCACCACCATATGCCCTGTCGGACACAGACACATTACCCTAGCTAGAGTGTCCGTGCTACAGAGCTTACTACCATATGCCCTACGAACCACCAAAGTGCTACCACCGTCTTCCAAGATGATGATGACATCCCAAGTTTTCGAAGAAACTAACTACAGAATAGGGGGTGAGGGAGATGGCAGAAGAGGAGATAGAGAAGAAGAAGGGTGACTCTGGAGAGGAAGGTTCTGGAAATGTGGGGAAATGGCGAGTAGTTTGTGGAGAGTGGAAATACGTTTGGTGAGGAAAAATGGGTCCAGACAAAAATGATATTGGTGTGGGTTTTTATTGGGTCAAATATTGCTGCTTTGTCCTTTTATTTTTTGTGTTGCATTTGTTGCTTCTTGTGGTTTTAACCTCATTCATGTTTTTCGTTTCAGTCCTCATTGAAATTATTTTCTACTCTCTTCAAAATTAGGCTTATACCATTATTTTAAGTTTAAATAATTTCAAATTCCACTTAACTCATGTCTTCTCCGCTTTGTCACTTTCCGTTTTTCCAGATTTTCGTTCTTTTTGTGTTAAATATCTATATCTTATATAAGAACTGACTTTGTTCTATTTGGATAGTATAGTTCTGATAGTTAATTGATACAATATATTTATTCCTTCTTTATGATCGTTTTCTTTCGACATTTGCACGTGAGGTCCTCCCACTGTTGTCCTTGTGACCGTCTCTTATCATTTTTCAATGACTAGATGTTGTGCAATTGGATGCATCTACCTTTGGCAGCTTGGTTGATCTCATGAAATAACAAAATTAACTAGGAGAACTATCTACATTGGTATATGAGTAGATGTCTAAGACTGTAGGGTAGACAACTAGAATCATCATTACCTATGAACTTCCAGGATTATAATAAATGGGTTTTTATTTTTTAATTGCAGGCATGAATTCAAACAAAATCATGGCGAATGGTTAAACTCAGTAAAGCCTTCTCTGGATCCTGCTATCTCAGCTCAAATACCAGACGTGCTTGAGTTAGCCGATACAGAAATTGAAAAAATTCACACAGTTAGGAGTGAATTGCGTTCAGCTCTGAATGCCCTTTTAAAGGTTTTGATTTATAACATCTCAAGTAGAGCATGGTGTGGATAGTCAATATTTCTGGTGGTGGTCTTGTATTATTTATGTACAAGTGTTATATATGCTTTTATTTGCTTTTTCCTCGTTATTTCTTGTTGCAATATAGTGGCTACTAAATTGCTGGCATCTTCATTTCACTCCTCTTGTTTAAGTTCCTCTGGACAAAGTTAGTAATTCATCTCCACAATGATTAATGTCTTTTCCAATTAAGTCTGCAATGAACACGCAGTGAATTTATTTCCCATTTATTATTTTTTTTGTGGTGACCATGGACTTTCTCATTGTTTCTTAGCGTGGTGCATAGATCACTTGTTTTTTCAGCTTTCGTAGCTGCAGGGTTGGTGAAGTCATTCTTTAAGAATTTTAGGATCTCACCCCTTTATATTTTGTGATCTATTTTCCTTTTGCGCATTACATTTTTTGAAGTACTACTGGATTTATAAAAAATGTTTTTAAGTGTGAGAACTTTGATTATAATAATTTACTTCAAAAAAACTGCATCAGAAATTTGACCTTTTATAATTAATAGGTCAAGTGGGTAGCATTATCACAATTGATAATATTTGGGCCCGTTTGTCATCGCCTGTTATTTTGCCTTTGCTTTTGCTACTTGTAAAAGAGCTTTCTGAGAAAGTTATCTTAATTTTTGTTTGGAAACTAATTTCTAAAAGAGCTTCCTGCTTTGAAAATGCTTTTAGAAGAAGTTACATTGGACCTACTTCTAAAAGCTCTTTTAATTGGTAGAAGCACTTTCATAAAATTAGTTAAAACAGATTCTAAAGAAGCTTTTGAGACTCAAAAGTTTCTTTTGGCTTCTCAAAAGCCATGACAAACAGCATTTAATAAATGCAATAACCTTTGTTTGCTTTTTGAGGTGATTGTCAACTTCTTGCTCCACACACCTAAAATATTTTGTGATCTGTTACGAGATTTGAGTTTCATTGCTCTTATTTTGGCTATACTCATGCAATAACTATAGAAAAGATAATCTGCCTCATAATTAGTGCCACTTATTACTCCATGTTATTGGAATGCAATTAATATGAACTGCAATGACTACCCTATAAGAAAAGGAAATAAAAATAGCGGTTATCATGTCTGAGATCCTGTGCCTAAGTTGTTGCGGCAAATCCCATTTTCCATATTTCATATGTTTTCTGATGGCAGTGTATGCTTATGTTAGCTGTGTTTGGACAAATATTCTAAACAGGATGGAATACTAGTGATCCCTACTTTTGCTGATCCTCCTCCAAAACTTGGTGCAAAGGAGATCCTGTCGGAGGATTACCTGGTCAAAACATCTGCTCTTTCAAGTTTAGCCAGCATGTCAGGCTGCTGCCAGGTTAAGTGTTGGCTTGTGGCTTGCCTACAGAAACCTTTATATTGCAAACTATTCCTTACTCAATATTTCTTTTCTCATGCAGGTTGCAATACCGTTGGGATTCCAAGACAAATGTCCTGTCTCTGTTTCCTTTTTAGCCGGGCATGGAAGTGACAGATTTTTGCTGGATTCCCTGCACACTGTATATGCAACTCTCCAGGAGCAACTCGATGTAGTCAAAAAATCAAAAACATCAAATAATGCTGTTACCCGGGAAGCATCAGCAGAGTTGGCTAAAGAGAAGGTAGATAAAGATGAATTGAATGCTGTTGTGAATTGCCTTTATTGTATGTTATGAATGAGCCAGTTTTACCTTATTATGCTCCATCAGCATACACAACTGCCGCTTAAGCAATAGCAATGTTAAATTGGGTTCCAAAATGTTCAAAAGATTGTAGTTGCTACAATTCTTTCATTTTATACCTTTACAGACAATTAAACCCCACAAAGTTTGACTCACATACTTGTCTCAAGTAATGAATGACTATTAACTTAAAATAACCAAATATGTGTGAGAATTTTTCGACTAGCCAGGTATACCTATTTGCTATAGTAGAGGGAAGATCATTATCTGCAAGCATTACTAAATGTTGTAATTCTTTCTTGCTATGTGCATTATATGTTGGGGAAAGCTTACATAATCATTTTTTTCATAACCTTTTTCTAATGTTCCCTGCTGACTTTTTAATGAATACAATCCACCCATCCTTGCTTGTCACTTTAGATTTAGTTCTCTCCGCTCTGCAAATTTGTCCTCTCTTTAATTTTCTGGGTTGACTAGAATAATCATGAATTTGAAGTAGAATAATTACATTTGTGTTTGATTTATATTCTCTCTGTAATGAGCTCTGTTTTTCTTATCATATTCCTTTTAGGGTAACCGAGCATTCAAAGATAAACAGTGGCAGCAGGCCATTGGCTTTTATGCAGAAGCTATCAAACTCAACAGTAGCAATGCAACGTACTATAGTAACAGGGCGGCAGCATATTTGGAACTGGGAAAGTAATCACATCTTGTAATGTTCATCTCGTTAGTCATTTATCTGCTTGGAGAATTTATTTATTATTTTGTTTTCTCTTGTTTACCCAGTTTCCTCCAAGCTGAAGCAGATTGTAGTAAAGCCATTGATCTTGATAAAAAGGTTCTTTCTCTTTTTCTCGCTCCACCCCTACAGAAAAGCAAAGCATTTATATTGTATTGTATATTGTTGAAGAAGTGCCAGTTACAATCATACAATCTTATGCTATTCTGTCCTAGCTATTGAAATGCCATTTTATTTTCGTGGTGTAACTACATGGCTGTGTAATTATCCTTTGGGCAAATTTTGTGGTGTTGTAGTAGTCTTTCTCCTACTAAAGCAGAATTAAACCCAGGCAATGTATTTTGATGTCCTGTACAATTGGGTGGTCTCACTTTTTCTGTGATCTCATACCTAAAGAAGTAGGGAATGCTATTCGTAGTCGACGACTATCATAGTCGCTCTGCGTAGCATCCTACTTGTGATTGTTTTGTTATTAATATGGAAATTCATTTGATTATTTTCTTTTTTTAGGACGACCACTGTAATCACTTATTAGGAAGTGATCCGCGTCAGTCTGAAACAGGATCCCTTTTTTGTACCCTTGTAATGATATGCATGTTTTTGGAGAGGATGGTTGAGTTAAATTAGCAATACAATTGTTTTTAGTTGATGTAACCCTCTAATTTATACATGCTCTTTCCTTGCCACAATTTTCATATTTTGTTTGATGACTGAATTGACACGAGGCATTCTTTGCAGAATGTAAAGGCCCATTTAAGAAGGGGAACAGCACGGGAAATGTTGGGATACTATAAAGAAGCAATGGAAGGTGAGTCCATTTTTATCCATTCTCATTTTTTACTGTTTAAAATACGTATATATTCATGTATAGGTACGAATTTATAGTGTCTGAAAAATGTGTAAAACATAGATATCTTATCCATGAGAATTCCCAGAAAACTAATGATCACTTGATGGTCTGCAAGCAACTAGAAACTTCAAGTATCTGAAAGATCATGGGGCAAATTGCAGTTCCAAGCCACGAGAATACTAATATTGATTGGGTTTTATTAGTTAACAGTTATTTACATTTTAGGGAAAAATTATCGAAGATTCTTGTCTGACTTATTTAGGTTAATATACATATGACAATCACTCGTATATTCTGGCTTGCAGATTTCAGATATGCACTTGTACTTGAGCCAAACAATAAAAGAGCAGCTCAGTCGTTGGACAGGCTGAAGAATTTATTTCTATAGATGATTGGAATGTACGAGGATGTAGGAACACTTACTCTTGGCCGAACATTTTCTCGTGTAAACTGCCCATCAGTCCATCATGGAGCAGGGGATACATTTGCACATTTCGAACGCCCACAAGTACTTCAAGAAGCAGGTGAACCAATCAATCTTGACCGCTTTGTTGGTCGTGATAATTCTAAGCAGTCGTCGTTTGTTGTCAGTATAGAGCGATTTTGTCTTGTTTATGTTGCATTCAGGTTGTAACTCTAGAAGTCAGCTAAAGTTGATTTTTGGTAGTATATCAAAATTTCCAGAAATATTATTTATTTCAGCTCTGTTGGTGCGAATAATGATGAATATGACCCTGTATGATTAGGATTATTTTCCCTCATGGAGGAATACATTTTTGCATCACTGTTTGGCATTAGGAAAATTGAATCTTCTAAGAATCTGGCTTATTAGTTCAGCTGAATGAAGGTGACAGAGTACTATTTATTGCGCATGTTTGTAAAAGTCGTGCATATTAAAGGAAAGGGCTAATTGGTGCAAATTTCTTGACCTTTGTCTCTATTGCTGAATATCCCTTTCCTTTCATATTAGCGAAAAACCCTCATAAATGACTTGTGTGGAATATAATATTTTTTTTCTATTTTCTCAATAAACACTTGTGGGGTAGGTGGGAAAGAAAGAGATTTTTTTTTTAATTATTTATTTGGATTCATTTGTACTTTTTTGTACCTTTTCTATGAGATCTCCAATTGCAAGGTTAAGGTTTTATTATAGGTGATCTAGTTTGTAATAGGTTGTAGTCCCATTCTTCTCGATGTTTTTTGAACTAGCTCTCTCACAATCATTTGGTTAATAGGTCAACAATATTATTAGTTAACTTTACATAATCAATAGTTATAATCCCATCTTTAAGCAGCTGACATAGTATTATGCCTCCTACCAATATGTCTAGATTTTTCATTGTAGGATGAATTTTGAGCTCTTGAAGTAATTGCTTATTGTCATAATGGACAAAAGCTAGATGAAAGTGGTTTAGAACACAAAGGAACATCTATAAGAAAATTTCTTAATCATTTAACCTCCTTACCTGCCTTCTTTAAAGCTATGAACTCAAATTATATAGTAGATTTTGTAATGTAGGTTTGTTCGATGGATTTTCAAGATATAGCACCACTTGCTAAAAGTAAATACATATCCACTCATATATTTACTTTCATTGGTATTAAAAATCAAGTTAACATCAGAATATCCTTCAAGTACAGCACGAAATTTGATATAACGTAACCCCCAATCAAGAGTGTATCTCAAATACCTCAAAACTCAAATAAGAGCTTCGCAATGTTCAATGTTAAGATTACTAGCGAAGTTTACCGGTCGCATATGCTATATCAGGTCTTGTACATCTTATGAAATACGCGAGACTATCGATTACTAAAATATTCTAAAGCAGAAATACTGGGACTTAAATATTTTTTCATATGATGGCTTGCATCATAAGGTGTTTTAAGAAGAATACAATTACATTAGTTAAACTTAATCATTTTTTTTCCAACACAATGATATTGGGTTAAAGTAATTCCTTCAGAATATTTTACTATTTTAATTCATAGAATAACATCAGCAATGTCCAAATCTTTCATTTCGAAGTACTTTTTCAAAAAAAATTTACTCTTGTTAATCACATCTAAACTAGTGCTCATTGTAAACCAATTCTCATTGTCAGCATATTATCAACATATAAGCAAATTATTACACCACAATTATTTTCAAATTTGCTATGTATGCATTTATCTGCTTTATTTATCACATAAATAATGTCATAAAGGAATTTTTTATTTTATTATTATTATTATTATTATTTTAATGTTTGCACATTTTATCATCAAGACCTTCTATAACAAATCCCTCAGATTTCCATATAAATCTCCTCTTATAAGTCCCATTTAAAAATACGATTTTGACATGCATTTGATGTATAATAAGATCATATGATGAAACAATCGTAATTAACATCCTAATAGAGGTAATCCTAGTAACATATGAATAAGTATCAAAGAAATCAACTCATTCCTTCTGCCTATAGCCTTTAATTACAAGTCTTGTTTTAAACTTGTAAATCAAACCATCAGGTTTAAATTTTTTCTTAAACAACTATCTATACCCAATGATTTTGCATCCTTAATGTAAGTCTACTAGCTCCCAAATGTTATTAGAACTAATGAAATCATATTTACTATTTATAGCTTTTTTCCAACATAGAATTTGATAAACACGAAGCTTCACAAAAGGTACTAAGATCATCGTCTACTAAGTAGGTTAGAAAATTAGGATCGAAGGAAGTAGTAGTCCTAGGTTTTTTGCTTCTCCTAATTTCAACTTCTTTTAATTCAACAGGGTCCTTTCTAACTCTAGAAAGAACACTAAGGGTACATTTGATTGCAAGCATAGAAAGAAAATAAATTATGGGTAATTCAATTGCCTAAGATTTATTTGTATGGAAATTGTTAATCAAATGTGTTTAATTAATTTAATTTTCAACCTAAAAAATATTATACTTGTCCATTTTTTATTGGTGAGTTAATGAGAGTGGATAAATAAGAGAGAGGAAGAGAGAGTGAATTTCGTAGAAAATAAAATTCTATTCTTTCTAAAGAAAATATTTTTCTTGATTTTAAGGAAAATATAGTCACATGACCAAAAGTGGGAAAATATTTTTCATGGAAAAAAATGGCAATCAAACAGCACAAAAATAGAAATTTTGGTAAAAAAAAAAAAACATATTTTCCTTGGAAAATATAGGCAATCAAACGCACTCTAATAGAACTATTTGGTCTTTCAATTTTTTTATTTTTTATTTTTTTTTGTATCAATCAAATTATTTTTAGAGTCGATAGCTGAAAATCTATAAATATTACTATGAAGAATAAAAACACAATCAACGGTTTTCTGACAATGTTTAGTTCTCTTAGGTGCTGAAATAGAAGTTTTAGTGAAGCCCAATATTTTAAGATATTTGTATGAAAGTGTTCTACCATTCTGCATTTCATAAAAGGGACTTAATACATTTCTTTTGGGAATTCTATTAAAAGTATAATATGCAGTAAGAAGGGCTTTCTGCCTCATGTTAAAAGGTAATCCATAAGAGTTTAGTATTGAAATGATCATATCCTTAAGAGAATTATTTTTCCTTTCAACTACATCAGTAGATTGGGGAAAATAAGATGGAGTAGTCTCATGAATAATACCATTATTAACACATAATTTGTCAAAATCACTGGTATACTCTCCTCCTCTATTAGATTTTAAATTTTCATAGCTTTGTCTAGTCGATTTTCTAATTCAATTTTATACGAAATAAATTTTGAATAACTTTCATTCTTACTCTTAAGAAGATATATGTAACAATAACGAAAATAATTGTCAATGGAAGTTGAAAAAATATTTATTTTCACCACGTGTAACATATCCTTTTAAATCACATAAATCAAAATGTATTAAACTTAAAATTGAAGTAGTTCATCAACTTTAGGAAATAATTTTTTAGCATACTTAGATTCGATACAAGTTTCACATTTCATATTTGAAAAATTATCAATCTGAGGAATGTTTTCCAAATTTGCTAATCTTTCAAAAGAAGATATATAACGTGTCCAAGTTTAGCATGTCAGAAAAATCATTTGAGTCCGACAAATAAACAAAAGACATAGATGCTTTATTATTAATCATATAAACATTGTTTTAAACAGACTCTCATCTGCATACATTTTCCCAACAAAAGAATCATTCTTATATTGTACAACTTGATCGTTCTCAAACACAATCTTAAGTTTCTTTTTGACTAAGATAAATTCGGACACTAGATTTTTCTAATTTCAATTGCAAAAATGACATTGTTCAAACTAAGGACATTTTCAAAAGTAAATCTAAGTTGTCAAAGTTCTTTTCCCCTCGATCTTGGAGGAAGAAGCATTCTCATTAATAGATATTCTCCATCACTAAGAAGAATGAATGAAGAAAATGTACATCTCGTATAATAGACATGCTTAATAGTTCTAGAATCTATTCACTAATCCGTCATGTTGCTTACTAGATTAACTTATGTCACCATAGCAGATAAATTCTCATTTTCTACTACATATGCTCAATTCCTCACAACTTTATTCTCATTCTCTACTACATATGCTCAATTCTTTATAGCTTTTCCTTTTCTATTCATATAATCCTTTGCAAAGTGATCTGATTTATCACAAACAAAACAGTTACCAATAATTTATATTTAAATTGAGGTTTAGAATGATTATTTTTCCCTTTGAATTGTTGTTCCTTATTTCTATATTTAAAGTTCTGACTTTTGGTAAAATTTTCAGCAAATTTCTTACGAACTTCATTCAATAAGATTAGCCTTGGTACTCAAACTTGATCTCTCCCTAAGTTTTGCCATTTTATTGTCTTCCTCAATTCTAATTTTAATAATCAGATCTTTTAAAGACTTTCACTTTTAGGAGTAGGGAAAGAAAATCCTCTTTGTATAAGTTGGGATCTTATTATTAAAATGGACAAAAGTTTTTTATATACATTATTGTAAAAGCGCCTCTAGTAGAATCGGGCAAGCCGATAAGGTCTTAACTTGAGAAGAACAATGATAGACGGACCGCATGAAATGAGCCATGAAATAGTTGAACCATTACACAAAAAAGGGTTCAAGAATCATGAAGACTCTATCAAGCCTTTACGTGGATGAAGTCGGCAGGCCTTAGTGAATCTTTCCCTTCTATTCTTTTCCACGTGTAAGGAATTGAGCTATATTTCTTAATAAAATTTATCTTTGAAACTAACCAAAATCTTAAATTTTGATATGGTAACAAAGAATATTAAGTTCTGTTTGAGTCTCATTCTTTCAAAAATTTATTTTCATCCACACATTTTTTAATAAAATAATATAAATAATGCTATTTGCAGTCGTTCATTGCAACAGTCGCCCTACATGACATATACATGGCAGGTGGTTATTTGATGCATTAATGAATAAAAAACTACTACATTAATGCATCAAATAATCACTTGTCATATGTATGTCACGTAGGGCGACTACCGCAGTGAGCGACTACGAATAGCATTACTCAAATAATATTATACGTAAACTCAAAATTTTTCTTTAATTTTTAATCACACATTCTTCATCAATCACTATTTAAAAAAATATTTTTTCACTTAAAATGAGGCTCGAGTAAGGGCTAAATTCAAATGAGTGATTCAATCTGATTAAGATTCCAACGAACACACGAATTTAAAAAATGTTGATATTTTAAGTCCGGCAGAATGACCGAATTCAAATATCAATAATGCTGTTTTATCAGAGGTTACCCTTATCGACCCTCATAGCAGGTGGGTCCCACGTGCATAAAAAATTACCAAACCATGCTGTTTACTCCAAGCATAATTGTTCAAATTAGGGGAAGACAAATTAGGGTTAATCTGGACTGATATCCGTCACCCAAGAATCACCCGACAAATTAGATCTCGCCAAAAGTCGAGAAAAATTGTTAAAAAATCTATAGAGCAAAGATATAAATTGAAGAGAAACACGCAATCCAAGGTAGACGTCAGTCCCTCCGCGTTTCGAGATGCGTTCCAACTGACACTCCTCTCTTGGATCCGCCAAATTTCTGTTTTCTATTTGCCCCTTCAATAGGACCACTTCTTATTGCAAAAATGGTCCACATAAATCTTATATGCGCCACATAATTTGGTCAAACTCTATTTCTATTCACGTATTTTATAGAATTCATAATTTACTTGCATAAATTACATATTTCTTGGTACCATATCGATATCCAATTATAATGGATTCAAAATTGTTGGATAATAATGAAAATGCGAATTGTGCATATGTGGTTAACGAATAAATGAATGGGTGAAAAATAATAGAAACGCAAGTTTTGTGTATGCAATACGTTAAGTAACGACTAATAAATCATTTATATGTTAATTTTACTAATGCAATGAGCAGAAGTAAAATCGCTATAAACTTTGATGACTAAATTGATTAGGGAAAAAATTGTAACACCAACTTGAAATTATCACAACCTTCATTGACAACTCAAGAAATTAACTCGATAATATATAGGTCCTAAAAAATATTTTTATTATAGAGAAGACAATAAATAAATAAATAAAGAATTGTTTGTGGATCCAAAACAAAAATATCAAAATGCATCATGAGAATCCATTCTTTAATATTTTATAAATCACCTACTTTTTTGCTATGAAAACGACAAAACTCAATTATTCAAATGCCATGACATATTTGTTCTAGCGATTGGTCCATCTTTAGTGATCCATTAATCTTAAAACATTATAGAAAAATCTAACCTCATTTAGTCTGTTTGTTTTTCATCATTTTCTCATTAAAATGAAAAATATGATCATTATCTATTACATCAAATCATCAAATTTGAATTTTTATCTCTTGTATGAAGTCCGTAACGACTATATTTTTCATTCCTACTCTTTAAAAAATGAGAAACAAACGGGATCTTGCCCCTTATTTGAGCCTTATTCTTTTTATAAGAATAAATTTTTAAATTGGTGAAAATGTGTAGTTAGAAAATAAGAAAAAAATTTGAATTTACGTGTAATATTATTTTATTGAAGAATGTGTGGTCGAAATGATGTCAAAATATTTTTTAAAAATATTTTTTTTTCAAAGAACGTGGCTCAAACAGGGGCTTAGCCCTATTTGATTTAGATAAAAATTAATTTTTAATAAAAATAAATTTGTAATTGAGAAGTCGATGGGCTCTTGAATCTTACTAAAAGTATGGTTGAAAATGAATTAAAAAAATGAGCTTTAAAAAAGGAACCAAACAAGAGTTAATATTTTATTCCCAAACGTTTTATATGTACATAACACGTTCATAAATTTTATAATAAGTTGTGCATAAATTTAAACTGAACTATTTTTATCTAGTTCTGATATCGTGTCAACTATCTTATTTAAAGACTTGAAATATGAAAGGACTTCAGTCCCCAACATTATATGAGAAAATAAGCTAAAGTTGAAGTAGAGAGTATACATTGTCTTTCATCTTCGTTGCTTTTCATATTGTGCCTTAATACATTGCTATATTGCATTTTGAATAAGACATATAGTTTAGCTGTGTAACAATGTGCATCATATTTGAAACAAATTCTTTAAAATTTATTTTAATATTATTTTTCAATCATATATTCTTCTAATAAAATAATTTTTTACGTGGTCCATAACATTTTCCTACTTTTAACCTTACATAATCACTTTTTACAGAAAATCTACATTGCTTGTGTTAAATGATTCTAAAATTACTTTTCTCCAAATTTATTTTCAACAATACATTTTTCAAAAAAGTTCAAATTTTGAGGGTGTTTGACACCCATTTTTATGGAAAATGAATTTTAGAATATCAGATTGATGGACAATGTGTGAATGAAAAATAAGGAAAATTTTTTGATTTACGTGTAATATTATTTTAATAAAAAATGTGTGATTAAAAAGATGAGAAAGAAAAATATATTTTGATAAAAATAAAAATCAAACAAGATATTTTTCCATACTTTTCAACCATAATCTCTTAGAAAATCTTTCCCAGTCAAGAAGTGAGATTTTAGCCTTTGTTTGTGTTCCATTCTTTAATTTTTTTTTTCAAACTCATATTTTTTCAATAAAATAATTTTATATGTAAATTTCTGTTTTTTTACTACTTTTTAACCATATAAAAAAAAGAGTTATTCTACACGCACAGACATTTAAGTGTACAGATATTGTACATAATACTCACATCAGATTTTTTGATAATAAAATATTCATGTGGAGCCCATTCGTTTTGTGATATCTGTACACATTCTGTACATTTCAAATTCAGTACACTTGGAATTTTTGAAAAAAAAAAAATACCCATCACAAAATCTATTCTATTTTTTCAAAAAGAATCAAACAGCGCCTTAACATGGTCTTCCTTCCGTAACAAAACAGAATGGAAAATGATGGTTGAATTGGGTTAAAAACATGGAAAGTGTGGACAGATCGAGTCAACAACAATTGATTGGATTTTTTAGGGTCTGCTTGATTGTAAAGATGAAATTGAATTGTCTAGAAAATGAATTTCAGGGAATTGAATTGCCTAGAATTGTTTTCCTGAGAATTGTAAATTATTGTATTTGATTGGTATAATTTTTCACGTGAAAAATATTGAAATAAAAGTGTTTTTTAGTGTTCGTTTGATTTTGTTTTACATGAAAATTGTTAATTAAATGGATATATTTTACTGGTATTAGGGATTAAATTTGTTTCCAATTACAACAAAAAAAAAAAAACAAAAATTTCAAGAAAATCATCTATCTTTCGATATTTGTTTGACTTTATTTTACATGAAAATTGTCATTTAAAGGGAAATATTTTTTTACAATAAATCTTAAAATTTGTTTTCATTGCCAACCAAAAAAAAAGGGAAAAAAAAATGATACAGTAGATAGAAAAATCAAGAAAAGTGCAAATTTCAGCACAACCAAAAATTCGAATTCCATGAAAAAAAAAAGTATCAAATACCTAAAGTTGGAAAATTCAATTCCAATCCATCTTCCAATTCCATTTTTACCCTATCAAACACACTCTTATTTTAAATTTTCAAAGTCTGTATTCATAGTTCGACATAGGTGCTCTTCTTTTTAACCGTTTTATTGACCACCCTGTTTTTTATAATGTCATTTCTAAAACAGAATTGACTGAGGATCTTGAATTCCTTCACGTGGCGGTGGCCCAGAAGCCCCATCAGATTCACCCCTCACCTAACACCGCGTTAGTTTTCCACTTCCCCATCTATAATAACGCCTCTCTTCTTCACGCACAGCACCACATTTTCCACTACCCTTCTCTCTCCCTATCTCTGCCTAGTGTTTTCTAGTTTTCAGTGCCGTTTCTTCTCCTAGAAATTCTCAAGTCTGGGGTCTGCAATTTCAATCCTCTTAAGCTAATGCAGCAAAGAGGAAGGTCTACTAACCGGAGATCCAGAACTTTTTCTAGATCCCGCATTGCCGTTGAGGGTTGTTAGCCTTACCCAAGAACCCTAACGTTTTTCTCAGATCCAAGACAACCCATTAAAGCCATAACGATTTATCTGCCATTCCAGTAATCATCATATTTCGCCATGGCTGCTATTAGAGGTTTTGATAAATCTTTTTGTTGTTGAATTTAATTGGGTTTGCGTTGAATTGGAAAAACTGACATTGGTTTCTCTTTTGAATTTGTAGAACAAGAGCGTGAAGTGCAGAAGAATTACTGGATCGAGCATTCTGCTGATCTGACGGTGGACGCTATGATGCTTGATTCCAAAGCATCTGATCTGGACAAAGAAGAGAGGCCTGAGGTATGTCTCTAATGAAATTCAACTTTCTTTTTGTTGTTTCCTGAATGTAATTGGTAAGCGTTGAAAATGCTGCTTTGAATGTGCCTTAATTTCTGTTTTAGATCTGGATTTCTGGAATGAATCTATCGATGCTTCCAATTTTATTTGGATTTTCTTGGAAAAACCTGGTTTTTTAGGGTTACCATTTTTTATTGGCTCTGTTGCTTTTTTGCCATGGTAAAGAATGGATCCTTTTTGAGTTCTCTGGATTGTACCAAAAATAAAATCCCCTGCTTTACTTACATAAGATCTAGATGCTTTCGATTTTTCTTGTAACCCATCCTCTTTATTGGAAAAAGACAAGTTTGTTGTTAATGATGTCAAAAATGATTTTATTTTTTATTTTTTAAAATTATTATAGGCATGAAGATTGGATCTTTTTGTGTTTCTTTCACGAGATAATAATGATTTCATATGCTAAAGATGCTTGGAGTAAATTTATGAATAGTGAGTAGTTAGTTATGCCAATAAGATTTGCACAAGTTATGCAACATAGGATACCTAACGGCTTCACTATTTGGGGATGTCATGCCTATTGTAAAATTAATTGTTCTTTTTTGCTATGTAGAAATTGTTCTCCTACACGGACCCATCATTGATCCAATTAACATAACAAATTAAGCCTCACACTCAATAAATTTAGGGGGTGTATTCAATCAGGACTTTTGAAAACTTTGATGGAATTTTTTTAAGTGATGACTTTTGTGGATCTTTTAAAGATTTGTATGAAATTAGTGGAAGTCTTTTGTAGATTTCTATGGATTTTCATTTTAAAATTTTTATAGACTTTTGTTGAATTCAAAAGACTTTTGAAGACTTTTATTTGAAATAAAATTCACATCGATCTGATATGAAATTCTCATATAAGAGGTGTTAGTTCCCATAATTCCCTTTTTCTTTCCCCTTCTTCTTCCCATATAATAAATTTTTTTTTTGAAAAAATAAAAATTTAAGACCTTAATTAAATAATTAATAATCAAAACTATACATATATATAGTTTTTTCATATAAAATTTTATAATTTAATAAAAAAATAATAATTTTCACAAACAATGAATGAAAAAAGAAAAAAAAAAGTGTGATAAGAATCCAATTTAATTTTTTCATAGAAAATAGAGATATATAATAAGAGAGAAAAAAATAAATTAAATATAATAAATAGAAATTTTTTTTTTTAACATGTCCATAGAAGGTTAAAGGAAGGAAAGATTGGAAAAAAGTTTTTTTTTCTCTTTTGTTGAAAGTCTCCTAAAATCTCGTCATTAATGAGAGACAAATTTTAAAATATTATATGAGTACTTTCTGCTTAAAAGTTAGTACTTCCGAGAAAGTCATTAAAATTTGAATACCCCGAGACTTATAGAAACTTTTAAAAAGTTTTAATTGAATACACTGTAACTTTTAGAAACTTTTTAAAAGTCTATAAAAATTTTAATTGAATGCACCGTGACTGAGAGTCAAAAAATCTCAATTGAATATCCCTAAACATTTTAAATCCCAAAAAGTCATTAAAAGTCTCAATGGAATACACCCCCAGTGTGATCTCCTTTTTTTTTCCTTCCATTGTGTGGTTCTTGTTAATTACTTGATTAGCTACTTACTGACTTTAAAGACTTTTTGGTACTAACCCCCTTCCTCTTCTTACCTATTCTACCGAGATATTGATGCTCATACACGAGTCTCTTTAGGCTTAAGCAAAACAGGTTTCAAGTCTTAGTGTTTCCTTTTCCTTATTTACTTTACCTAATAAATAATTAATTAAGTCCCCCATTCTTTCCAAATTTTAGTGGTTAGAATAGTCTTTTTTTCAAAAATGTGTGGTTGAAAAAGAATGAAAAGTTTTTGCTTTGCGTGTAATATTATTTTACGAAAAATTATGCGGTTGAAAATAAGAAAGAGAAAGAATGAGAAGGAGAATGGTGCCAAACGGGGGGCTAATTTTGTTAGTTATGAATACTTTTTGCAATCTGCATCTTGGACGTGCTTACAATATGTAAGAGTTACTTGATGTTCTTGCCTTGGATTCAAGGCATCAATGGCACCCTTTTGTTGATGTTTCACTGCATAAGCGCCCGTATTAAGATATATGTGCTTCAAAGATAATAAATTTTTAGCTTCAAATGCTTCCAAATTGCAATTCTGATGACTCTGAAATATAGCATGAGACCTCCATACAGACCCTGTCAAACTGACAACATAAATACCTAATCTTAAACAAATATTTGTAAACCTCCTGCCTTCTTATTTGAATTCACAACATCATGGTTGTTAGATGAACATCATTGCTCTGACCAATAGCCTGTCAGATTGGCATGTGAGTAACATAGCGAAGATGCTGTATTTCGTAAAATACGTTGTTATTGTTGAATAGGAGTGGTTCATGCTGCCTAACTATATCTGTATATCCTCATAATTATGTCTTAACTTCAGAAACAAATCTTTCTGAATTATTCTACATGCTTGTTCAATTTCATATTCCCCTTTCCCAGACTAATTAGTCTATAATCTCATAAAATCAGGTCTCAAATTGCTGAGAGTTATCTTTTTTCCTTTTTCTCTTTGAACTTGGTGCTCTTTATTTTGACAGACATACAAGGTTTTACTTTGAGTGTCAGTCAGTTGACTTGCCATGATTTTTTGCTTGCAGGTGCTTTCTCTGCTCCCACCTTATGACAACAAGTCAGTTCTGGAACTGGGAGCTGGTATTGGCCGTTTCACTGGTGAATTAGCTCAGAGGGCTAGCCAAGTTGTAGCTCTGGACTTCATTGAGAGTGTAATAAAGAAGGTTTGTGGCCTTACCCCGAAAAATTTCATTTGCTATTGCTCTGATTTCGAAATGTATCTGGTAGTAACATGAAGTCTGAGTCTTTAATTCTCTGATTCACAGAATGAATGTATCAATGGACATTATGAAAATGTCAAATTCATGTGTGCTGATGTGACATCCCCAGACTTGAATTTTTCTGAAGAGTCAATAGACTTGATATTTTCTAACTGGCTACTGATGTATCTCTCAGACAAAGAGGTGAATTTTCTAAACTTCTTTTTCTTTTAGAGAGACCATTTCTGCAGGTTGTATGAACTTGTCACTTAAGTGGTAACCATGATGGGCGAGAAATTCTCCTTTTTGAATTTTTTTCCTCTACATGTTGCCACGGGATGACTGTATTGTCCATTATTTTGCAGGTCGAGAATGTTGCTGCAAGAATGGTCAAATGGCTAAAAGTTGGTGGCTACATATTTTTCAGAGAATCGTGTTTCCATCAGTCTGGAGACCACAAGCGAAAGAATAACCCTACTCATTACAGAGAACCAAGATACTATACAAAGGTTTCAATTTTATACATAACTCTTTTTCGTGCAGGATGTAGAGCTGCAGCAATCTAATAAATTTCTGCTCTAAATTGTTGAAATCTTACATGCCTAAATGGTAGAGCTCCATTGGCTGACCTCAATCCGTCTCTATTTCCTTATATAGAATTTGGTTTGTGTAGGCTGGAATTCATCTACTCTGTACCCATCCCGAGTATTTCCTTCAATAGAAATCACATAAATGGTAGATTAGAAACTCAGTTGTGATGCACCCATCATAATCAGAGACAATTATTATGCTTCTTTAACAGTAAAATAAATGAATTTCTATTGACTAATAAGAATAAGGAGGAAGATGAAAAATGGTACCTCATGGTGAAGGTATCCACAATAAATAGCATGATTGTAATCTTTTTATGTCTTATCATGGCTTGATATTTCACCGGTAATTACAACTGTCCACTCATACTGGCTACATATGTGTTGTAAATGTTGACTTTAAGCAGTAACGAGGAATCAACTGAGATCCATTCAAATTGGGCAGAATCTTTCGATTTCTCTTGCACTTCCCCTTCCAATGGGTTTCGAAGATAAAAATCCTTTGTTGGATTGGCCCATAAACTGACCTAGGGAAATCCATGAACTCAATTCCGGTGGAGCGGTGAAATGCGTAGAGATCGGAAAGAACACCAACGGCGAAAGCACTCTGTTGGGCCGACACTGACACTGAGAGACGAAAGCTAGGGGAGCGAATGGGATTAGGCGACGAAGAATCAAATTATCACTATATTTATTCCTTTTTCTACTTCTGCTTCCAAGTGCAGGATAATCCCAAGGGTTGTGGGTTTTTTTCTACCAATTGGGGCTCTCCCTTCACCACCCCCATAAGAATTATAGACTGAAAGGAACCTAAGTATAAGCTTCTTAGCCTATGTTTGGCAAGTGTTAATAACACTTGCTAAAAGTCAAACAACTTTTTATTCACATATTTCATGGATCAACTTATCCACCGCGCATTTCTATCTGTTTATAAATACAATTGCTTATGAACACTTGGTAAACATATGCTCAGTAAACCTAGATGGTGTTTTGCCCCTCCAAATGAGCACAACAATCAAAATGTTCTTGAGTTCTAAAGCGTCCAATAATTATTTAGTTTTCTGTTCAAGTAATTTGATTCTGCTTCCCCAACGTATTGAACGTGCAGGTCTTCAAAGAATGCCATATGCATGATGGTTCTGGAAATTCATTTGAACTTGCTCTTATAGGTTGCAAGTGCATTGGAGCATATGTGAAAAACAAAAAGAATCAGAATCAGGTAATATGTTTTGGTCATATTTCAGGTTCATTTTTCATGTCTAGTAACTTTGGTACTGACCTTATGTCTCAATCATTACAAAGTCATTGAAATAAACGAAAATGAAACTTATTTTTTTCTACTTTTGCTTGTGCAGATTTGCTGGATTTGGCAAAAGGTTAGCTCAGAGGATGACAAGGGATTCCAGAGGTTCTTGGATACTGTCCAGTATAAATGTAGTGGCATATTACGCTATGAGCGTGTCTTTGGACAGGGATTTGTGAGCACTGGAGGGATTGGTATGCCACAGTGCTGCATACATTTTTCTTTTCTTCTCTTTATGACATTTGTGTGGAATCCTGACCTTTTCATATTGCCAGTATATATTTTTCTGATGGTAAAGCCTCACAATTCCTCCAAATTTAACAATGGTCCTACTTTTATCTGCTATTACATTGAAAACAGTTGATTTCCATTATATGCTAAGATGTTGAGCACCTACTTGTTTGGGGAGTATATTTTTGGGAATTTCAATGTTCAATTGCTCTCTCAAGTTAGTTCGCACACATGCCATAAACAGTTGTAGTTCTTTACTATAATCTTGTTTTCCCTTTTGAGTAATTTAGATTAACACATCTTGCATCTTGTTGTATTATCCTAGTGTACTTGATGAGATGATTGTGGTGCATCTCCCACCAAGTAGTCGTCAATTGGTCCTTTGAATCTCAGAGAATAATTATGTTGTTTATTATTTAGTTTCCTTTTATGTTTTAATTATAGATTGAACTTCTGTTCTTGAGCAGATACAACAAGAGAGTTTGTCGATAAACTGGATCTTCAGCCTGGCCAGAAAGTCCTAGATGTGGGATGTGGCATTGGTGGAGGTGACTTCTACATGGCTGACAAGTATGATGTTCACGTTGTTGGCATTGACCTTTCCATCAACATGATTTCTTTTGCTCTTGAACGTGCTATTGGTCTCAAGTGTGCTGTCGAATTTGAGGTGGCTGATTGTACTAAGAAAGATTATCCTGAAGGCACATTTGATGTGATCTATAGTCGTGACACAATTCTTCACATTCAGGTACTTTAAAATCTTTCTGCGACTAACTTGAAAATTCCTACAGATCAGCTAGTTCTTTTAATTTATAAAAGTTCCAGGTCAAATCTCAGAAAACTTTCTTTATTGATATTTCATATTTTCACATTTGGTTTTAATTACTTGAGCACTTGAGATGACATTAGGGAATATCACTTGTCCGAACGGTTTTATATACAAATGCACAGCTGGAAATGTGATCTTATTTTTCTCCTGTCAAATATCTGGCAAATCTCAAACTATTGGTATTTTACAGGACAAACCTTCACTATTTAAATCGTTCTACAAGTGGCTGAAGCCAGGAGGCAAAGTCCTTATAAGTGACTACTGCAGGAGTGCTGGAACTCCATCAGCAGAATTTGCAGAGTATATTAAGCAAAGGGGATACGATCTGCACGATGTCAATGCTTATGGCCAGGTGAGATCGTGTATAAAATAATTGACCACTTCCGCTCATGCTTGTGCTTGATTGGACCATATTTTATTTCACTGACATACTTTTCCCGCTTTTTATGTTAACAGATGCTACGGGATGCTGGCTTTCATGATGTTGTTGCTGAGGATCGTACCAAGCAGGTACTTATCAACCTAAATATTTCATCAAATTAGTTTTCTTCTCTTTGTATGGTGGTGTGCTTTACTTAAACCATACTTTACTTAAACCAATGGTTCCTTGTTTTCCAGTTCATAAAAGTTCTTGAGAAGGAATTGGATACCACAGAGAAGAATAAGGAAGCATTTATCCAGGACTTCTCTGAAGTGCGTAATTGATTCTTCGTCTATTATGCATTTGCTATTTCTAATCTTGTTGCCATTTATCGCACAACGCACTCAATATTCGTGTTTATGTTCGCAGGACGACTATAATTATATCGTTGGCGGTTGGAAGGCCAAGCTAGTCCGCAGTACCTCGGGCGAGCAGACGTGGGGTTTGTTTATTGCCAAGAAAAAGTAAAATCATGTGATTTCAGTTCGGCATTAGCTTTTATGTACTTTTGAATTAACGTTTGTTTTATGCTTCTATTGTTCTATGTTAAATTTATGACATAGCTACCATATGATAAACTATTTCGTTCTTGTCATTGTAAAATTAAGTTTGAATTTGGTTTGCTATATATGTGGATGTTTTGTTTCACTAAGTACAAAAGGTTGCCATTTTCCTATTCTATGTACGCATAAACTTAATGGGGGAAGTTGGTGTCCTCCAACAGAGGCAGAACTCACTCTTTCCAATTACATCTAAGCTTGAAAATATTACTTCAAAGTAAGGAAGGGGTTTTAAAATAAGTTTTTTGTTTTGTCAAAATTAGAGATAAGTACTTATTTCTAGAAGTAACTTACCTCCCATTCAAAGTATCTTACTTTTCTTACAGCATATTCGGTAGCTGAAAGTTACTTAAGTAAGAATAAGCTTAGTATGCTGCTTTTTAAATTTGAAAAAAAAGTGTGGAACATGTTGAATCTTATCTTCAACATGTCTCCGTAGGTGGAGTTTATTTTTTTCCACTTGCACAATTACATTACATGGGTATGGCACTAGAATCCATAACCTTTATTTTTTTCATACCACTACTTGATCTAAAAGCATAAATTGACCACGTATAGATAACTTAAATTTTGTCTTTTTTCTGATCGATAAATATTAATTACTATATATTAAAACCCATGTGCAAGTACACCGGCAATTAAAGACCAAGTGAAATATAACTACTCTTGGCGTAATTGGGAAAACAAAAAGAAAAAGATGTACAAATGATAGGCACTATAGTTTTAAAGCCAAAGAATCAAATGAATCAAAACATGCAGGTACAACGTAAACAAAACCTTGTACACGTTTGTTTTAATTCGTCTAACAATGCTCTCCACGTGGACTAAATTCCTAAAAAACTTTCCTGTTCCGTGCCATTCAAATATAGTAAGTGGTACCAACAAGTGCAATTCTTTTGGATTTACTTTGTCAGGATGTCACCTCGAGCTTCTTTCTTGATCCACTTCAAAGCATCGTAATTGTAGTCATCGATCTTCTAATCCCCGTCCAAGCTTTGATATTCATCCATATGCTAGAGGTGAATAAGCATTGGAAAAATAAGTGCTGTCCTGTTTTCAAGTGCATTTCAAACAGAATTTTTTTTTTTTTTTGGTCAATGTTGAGATAAGACAACCGATCCTTAGTGAGTTGCTTTGATTGAGCACCCACCCATAAGATAAATGCATGTTTTGGAGTGATAAAACATCTCCATACGTCCCTCATCCAGACCTTCTTGTCTCCCTTCGGCCGAAAATGCTCATAGGCAGCTCGGACGCAAAAATGGCCAGCACTATTCCAGTTGGACAGCATGTTTTCAGCACTATGGGCAGCCCCATAATTCCCAGCAATGATGTCTCTAATTTCCAAGAGTCACATTTCCTTGTCGTGTAATCCAAAAAGGCCTTCCCTTGAAGGTATACTTGGTTAATCCATTTAACCCATGACGTCCTTAGTATGATATCTAAAAGACTTTGGCTAGAAGAGCTGAATTTCAGCTTTTGACATCTCTAAAACCAAGGCCGCCTTCCTCCTTTGGTAGGCAAATGGTACTCCAAGCAACCAACGATTTTTTAGTACCCCAAAGAAAATCTCGACAAAGCTTAATAATCCTCGAGACTACTGTTGATGGGATGAGGAATATTGAGAGCCAAAACACTCCACACCTCGTAGAATGACTCTAATAAGTTCCGCCCGACCCACATAAGAAAGTGAAGATCATGTCAATGCACAAATGTAAACCGAAATTTTATCAAGGAGCACATCAGATGAGCTGATTTTTAATTTCTCAATGGCAAGTGGAATTCCCAAATATCAAAACAACAGAGAACCTCTAGGAATGTTGGTCAATGCAACAATATCCTCTAATTCTTGGCCATGAATACCCATCGTATACAAGCTATATTTGCTAGCATTCATTTTAAGTCCCAATACTTCTTAAAATTTAGAAAGACAATTCATCAAAATTCTAACCGAAATAAAATCACCCCTAGCAAAGTGCATCAAATTATTGGCAAAAGCTAGATGTTTGATCTATAACGTGCCACATTTAGGGTGATAGTTGAAGCCACTATTCTCGGTATTACCTTTCAACATTCTCAAAAAACACTCAAGGCAAAGAACAAACAAGAATGAAGATAGTTGATCACCTTTTCTAAGCCCTTTTCTACCCTTAAAGAAGCCATGTAGACTTCCATCGAGTGCAATAGAGAAAGTAGGAGTAGAAATGCATTCCATAATCCAGCCAATAAACTTATTTGGAAAATCCAAACCTTCAAGTATGCTTTTGAGAAAATCCCAATTCACCGAATCATATGCTTTCTTAAGATCAACTTTAAGATGGCATCTCAGGGCAACTCTTTTCCAGTTGTATTTTCTCAAAAGCTATTGTGCAAGGCTAATCCCCGTCCAAGCTTTGATATTCATCCATATGCTAGAGGTGAATAAGCATTGGAAAAATAAGTGCTGTCCTGTTTTCAAGTGCATTTCAAACAGAATTTTTTTTTTTTGGTCAATGTTGAGATAAGACAACCGATCCTTAGTGAGTTGCTTTGATTGAGCACCCACCCATAAGATAAATGCATGTTTTGGAGTGATAAAACATCTCCATACGTCCCTCATCCAGACCTTCTTGTCTCCCTTCGGCCGAAAATGCTCATAGGCAGCTTGGACGCAAAAATGGCCAGCACTATTCCAGTTGGACAGCATGTTTTCAGCACTATGGGCAGCCCCATAATTCCCAGCAATGATGTCTCTAATTTCCAAGAGTCACATTTCCTTGTCGTGTACTCCAAAAAGGCCTTCCCTTGAAGGTATAAATGGATGTCTCTAATTTCCAAGAGTCACATTTCCTTGTCGTGTAATCCAAAAAGGCCTTCCCTTGAAGGTATACTTGGTTAATCCATTTAACCCATGACGTCCTTAGTATGATATCTAAAAGACTTTGGCTAGAAGAGCTGAATTTCAGCTTTTGACATCTCTAAAACCAAGGCCGCCTTCCTCCTTTGGTAGGCAAATGGTACTCCAAGCAACCAACGATTTTTTAGTACCCCAAAGAAAATCTCGACAAAGCTTAATAATCCTCGAGACTACTGTTGATGGGATGAGGAATATTGAGAGCCAAAACACTCCACACCTCGTAGAATGACTCTAATAAGTTCCGCCCGACCCACATAAGAAAGTGAAGATCATGTCAATGCACAAATGTAAACCGAAATTTTATCAAGGAGCACATCAGATGAGCTGATTTTTAATTTCTCAATGGCAAGTGGAATTCCCAAATATCAAAACAACAGAGAACCTCTAGGAATGTTGGTCAATGCAACAATATCCTCTAATTCTTGGCCATGAATACCCATCGTATACAAGCTATATTTGCTAGCATTCATTTTAAGTCCCAATACTTCTTAAAATTTAGAAAGACAATTCATCAAAATTCTAACCGAAATAAAATCACCCCTAGCAAAGTGCATCAAATTATTGGCAAAAGCTAGATGTTTGATCTATAACGTGCCACATTTAGGGTGATAGTTGAAGCCACTATTCTCGGTATTACCTTTCAACATTCTCAAAAAACACTCAAGGCAAAGAACAAACAAGAATGAAGATAGTTGATCACCTTTTCTAAGCCCTTTTCTACCCTTAAAGAAGCCATGTAGACTTCCATCGAGTGCAATAGAGAAAGTAGGAGTAGAAATGCATTCCATAATCCAGCCAATAAACTTATTTGGAAAATCCAAACCTTCAAGTATGCTTTTGAGAAAATCCCAATTCACCGAATCATATGCTTTCTTAAGATCAACTTTAAGATGGCATCTCGGGGCAACTCTTTTCCAATTGTATTTTCTCAAAAGCTATTGTGCAAGGTGAATGTTTTCGATCACGCTTCTTCCCTCCACAAAAGCCGCTTGTGCTTGATCAACAATGGATCCAAGTAAAGGTTCCAATCTAGAAGCAAGAATATTCGTAATGACCTTGTAGAATACATTGCAACATGCAATTGGCCTATAATCTCCAAGGAAGATGAGTGATTTGTCTTAGGCACCAAAGCAATCACTGTATGATTTGTTTGTTTAAGAAGAGAGGAAGAGTTGAAAAACTCTTTGATAGCCTTCTTAAACTCACATCCAACAATGTTTCAAGCCTTTTTAAACAAACAAGATGTATATCCATCCAGTCCTAGCGATTTATCATCCCCAATACTAAACAAAGCTTTTTTAATCTCTTGATCCAAAATTTCGTGGATTATTGACAAAACATGCCCCCTTAATTAGCACTGGACCATTCTTCACGACCTCGGCTTCAATAGGTTGAACAAGGCAGTTATTTCCCAATAAGTCCATGTAAAAACACATGAATTCATCCACCAATTCCTTATGAGAAGAAGTATAGGTCCCATCCCTTTTCAAAACAAAGCGATGTGTTCCTCTTGTTATTTTTCTTAACCACCGAATGGAAGAACTTAGTACACCTATCTCTATTTTTTAAATATGCACACTTAGCTTTTTTAGATAAGTACACACATAAAGAAGTTTGTTATGCACAAGTTAGCCTACAAGCATTGTTTATCGTCTAGCTTTTCTTTGAGTCATTTCAATGCACACTGTCACGAGCATCAAATAGAGAGTTATATACGTCTTTTATAAAGTTGAATAGCGAAAAATATTCTTCCATCGGTTTACACAGCTAACAATGCGACAAGTTCTAATTGTGTACTTTACAATTGATTGGGAAGATATTGTCAACCTTTTAGTGCATATTTTGTACACAGCACACTTTAGCTCTACATATCGAACATGTTATCATGTAACAAATATACGCATGGTTGTCATAATAATGTGTAGTACATTTCCGATTTTCTTTTATATAACCAAGAAGTCATTTTAAATTAAATGTCATGGAATAATCCTATTGCAGTGAACGTATATGGCATCCTACTAAACTTTATTTGGTAATGAGATTGACGACAACAAAGGGAAATTTAATTATTTTAACCAATAAAATAGGTAGAAGGCAAATAAAGCAATTTACACCAACCATTTAATTTTAATTTCAAATTAAGAGTGCAATTTAAACACCTGAATGGACGAAAAAATTTATTTACTAGAAAAATAAGAC